AAGCTGTATCCGTGGCCGTGGCCGTGCAACCTTCTTCTCCAGCCAGCCAGGAGGAGAGGCTGGATTTGGCTGTGCCCGGCGGTGGTCCAACAGTTCCCCCAAGGGCCCCCACCGATAGGGGACTCTATGGCGCTATTGAGACCCCCGACGCCAAGATCAAAAGCTACATTATAGCAACCGGTCTATGTTGGCCTACCGGCCCATTCCCCAGAGACAAATATCAAGGAAACAGGTTTAATCCTCTTCTTAGTTCGCTGTGCCGTTGTCAGGCTGTGGTGGTCTGAGGCCAGGGCAGGCTGTTGTTGATAGCCTATACATGTGGCGCTTCTGAGTGGTTGTGTATGTCCGTGCGTGTGTGAGCGCATCAGCGTGCGCTTATGTTTGGGGCGATGGCGGGGGGGGGCTCCAAAACAATATTTGCACCGGGGCCAATCACAACCTTGTTACGCCACTGCGCTAAGCAATGTACTGTATTGACTGGGGGTGTAAGCAAAACAGATTTTTGCCACCTATACATTTATAACAAACAAACACTGAAGGTAATGGTCAACCACTGGTTCGATTAGTTGTGCTGTAGATTGACTTTGGTAAATTGAAACTGACCAAAATCACATAAAAACATTAAAAAATGTACCGATCAAGGAAGCAGTTATCCATCAACCTCTTTGTTGTACAAGGTACATGTTTTAATTAATGGAGTCGGTTGAGTTTGGCAAGCACATAGATGGTTACAAGGGTTTCAGTTTGTCATCAGACAGGGCTGTCTGATAGCAAAGTAAAGCAGTACAAATATCAGGGATGCAAACCCATCAGCTATGAAAAAGGTGACAAGGATCCGAGCCCCCCGACCCCACGGATTACATGACATGACAGCAGCTGCACTAATGGTAACCGTATTTCAGTTTTGGCAACCAAAAGCTGATGCCTGATTGCCAGCCTGGCAACCACTTTTACAAGTTAGCGTTGAGCCCTGTAGTGCCTGACGAGTTTTAAGCTAATAGCCTATAAAGTTATGGATATTAGAAAGTTATTTTCATCGAAGCAGGCGCCACAAGCTGCAGTATCAGCAGCTGACAACAATGTCATCACCAGCAGTGAAGAAATGGATGATGTTTCAGGTTTGTGAATCTAATGGTGATATCTGTACTCTGGCTGATTTAGGCCCAATCCCAAACCACTCCCTCGACCCTACCCCTCCGTGATGGAGTGAACTCCGTCTGTAGCCACACTCGCAGCTCAACGAGGCTCCCTCCTGTCAGATGGAGGGAGTAAATACAGCAGCAAGCTTTGGGACGGCCTCCCCTCTCTCCGGCAGAAACAGGAAATGCCGTAACTGTATGTAACAACGGTTTCAAATCAGCATCTCTTAGACAAAAAGTTTAAATTAATAACTCAAATACAACTCCAAACATCTTTCATTGTGTTTCAAAGCTCTTTTAGTTTTAAACCTGATGTTTATAAGCTTCTTAGTTTTTGCAACGGTCTGTAAATATACACAACTTTATAATAAAATGCACACATTTACCTTTTTCTAGACTAAACACAGGTATGATCCTAAGTTAAAAACATATGAGGTTATCATGAGGTTGTTAACATCGGAATTTATCAGTGGATGTTTGCTGGAACTACTTGTAAACAGCGTGTTTCCTGACGGACACACACAGCGGGACTCCGGTCAGGTAGAGACCGGTCTCAAGTCAGCACCGCTGCAGACTCGCTGTCTGAGGGCTTGATAGCCCACTCCCCCTCCACACTCGTTGCTTTGGAACAGCCCTCAATATGGCGGACCCTCCGCGTGAACGCGCAAACGGAGGGGTAGGGTGTAGGGGTAGGGTGTAGGGGGCGGTTTGGGAATGGGCCTGAGTAAGAAGTGAAAAAGAGTGATGTAACGTTAATGTTAGAGCTAGTAAACATGGAGTAACCACACTAAGTATACCCTTATATGTTAGTATGTACCGTATACAGAACATGACTAAAAATTATCCTAAGATGTAACGTTAACCCTTCATACCTCAGTCTACTTTTAAGACACTAAAATAACGTATTCCAATTTTTATTTTGTTTTTGAGTGTGGAATTATACCGGCTCTCGTTTCAGTACACATAACGGAACCATAGCAACGGAACTGATAGGCAACCCTCTGAATCAGACTCCGATTGGCTGTGACTGCATCCATTCAGAGTGTCCGATTCAGAAACGTGACTCTTACACTCTTTACGTCACAAACAAAGATGGTGGATGAGAATAGATCTATAAAACGATAAGCAATGCGTCAGTATCAAGGTGAGACTATCCGCATCCTTTAAAACTCTACGCATTCGTTTCACCGAAATAAGTAAACGACTGTATTTGAGTGAGTTAAGGCATTAGCTTGCTTCATTAAAGGGTGTTAATGAATAAGTGTTCTCCAGTGCCTTTTGTCCGCTTTTAAGGTGTTATTAAGGTAGGGTTAATGTTGCTCTCAAAGTGCACCAGATTGATGCTTTTAACTTCAATATTTAAAAAAAAATCTTCTCGGGGGAGCATGCCCCCGGACCCCTCTAGAAGAGGCGACGACCCCCCTAAAGGATGTTCGGTCCACCCCCCACATGTAAAAAATTGCACTTTACCCCTGCACCCCCCCCCCCCCCCCCCCCCCTCAACAACTGCTGGGCTAAGCCCCGGATCTCCTACAATCCTAAATCCGCCACTGGTTTATATTTACAAGTATCCAGCAAAAATGTGAGAAGAACACTCGATATGCGCATGAGTTTACCAACCTTAACCTGTTTTGTAAATATGTTCCTCAATATAAAAAACTGATCCTTTCACTTCAATGAATTTCAAAATGCGCCACTTTCAAAGCATATCTCAAAGCATAAGTAATTGAAAATGTACCCACAAAGATCTTTTTGTGCTTGGCCCATTCTATTAGAAGTGACGCAACGCTAACGCAACAGAGCAGCTTTCAGGGGTTTCAAAACGAGAGCTCCCTCAGTGGCTGATGGCTGTAGCAGAGCTGGAGTTTGGCCGCTTGTGTGGGAGGAGAGAAGTTTAGAAAATAAACAAGCACATTTAAGTTATAATAGCCACAGCATTTACTGAGGCATTGCTAATTTGTTGATCACATTTTTCCATTACAATGTCACTATTAGAGGGAATCAAAGGAGATTTTGGACGGTTGAGTGTGTGGGCAGCTTCCAAAATAGCGCCTATTATTCCTACTCCTGTGGGAACACACTTGTGATTTGGATATTTCTGTTTTAGTTGCAGTTGGCTGCTGTCTATGAGTCCTTTTAATACAAAGTTTACCTAAGAATAATAAAATAGAGTTTCACACTTTCTTCAAGTAAGTAAGACCTAAATACAATCTATATACAATAATGTTTTGTTTCCCCTTGCCCCTTATGCTTAATGTCCTGACTACTGAATTGTTGTGAATGTCAAAACACGGGATTAAAATTCAAAGGCGAAGGGAAAGGGTTGGCAATTAGTACACCGTCAGATTCTTATGATGTTCGCGGGGGGCCCTTCTTGCTTTTGTTACTGCCCCATCTTGAGATGAGAGCGTCCTCCCGCCGGAGTGAAGATGTGGGGAAAGTGGTTGAGTGGGTCTCCAAACAACAGAGATTGCAAGGGCGGATGGCGGCCTGTGACTACAAATGAGAGCACACAAACGTCTAATCCGTCACACGCGTAATGAGTGTCCCTGCTATGGTCCCTAAAGGAGACACACCATTCGCGTTAACACTCACAAACGCTAGTGCACATTTCCTCCCACACACAGACAGACGGGACGGAGAAAGGAGAGGTGCATAAAGCAAGACATTCATGTGATTCCAGTGCCCTTAAGGGATCACACACACGAGCAGCATGGAATATGTCCGAGCTGCTCTGGTATACTGACTTCCCACACAGACAAGTACAGCTATGCTAATAAGGCAGACCACACATAGATACCACTGCACATATTAAGTATTTAGAGGAGTAGCCTATGAACTAGGTGGCCTCTCTACAAAGACTACAATGAAAAGCCACAATGGAGATCATATGAATAAAATATGCTGACTTACCAAGACATGTTGTAAACAACCTTCTAGGGTTAATTATGGCAGACATTTGTATTTAGTCTTAGTTCTGTGATACTATTTTTTTGCCACAAGGTTATATCGATTAATTTCAGTCAATCAAGTCAAGCCAAAACCAATCATTTTGTCATTATAGTTCACCTTATTCCCACTAATATTATTATGAATGGTTACATTATTTAAAATTCAACTTTGATTCTCCAAAGCCTCCTGACAGAGCTCACAGTTCAGTAGCATCAACCGGTCCAAATACCCAATTCATCAGTCAACATGAAGTTAGTTAACCACTGTTACTCAACTTTAAGCATCATAGAAACACAGCTATTAGCAATGAGGAAAGAGGGTATTTGTGTGTTGAACAGAAAGGGAAGATAATGTGGAAGGTGAAGAAAATGGACATGTAAAATGGAGATTTTATATATTCAATATTATTATTATATATGATATTATCAAAGTCACTTTTTTGTCACAATTGTGCTGGCTTGTCATTGTCTCGTCATGGTCTTCATATTATTTCAGTTTTGTTATAACACTACTATCAACATTTTCTTCTTACTCAGCCAGTTCCTGTCTAACACAATGTCCATAGAATCAGGTTTTGATGAGGTTGCCAACATTTAATTCTACCAAAGGTTTTCCATCCCTGTCTATATTAGAAAACATTAGCACTTGTTTGGGAACATCGTATTCACAATAAAGCTTTTGGCTGGCAAGCAAGAATACATGGTTCACGACTCAGAAGACCATCTTAGAAATCCAGTAAACATAGCTAGTGCCAAGAGAAATGTTCAAATGTGTCATTATGAACATCAGGAGTGAATGGTTAAAGACACCTACTTCACGGTTTCTTATTCTCGATAAATCTCTGGGTTGTGTTTTGTCCCGGGGCAAGTTTAGATTCAGTCTGTAGTGTAGTAAAAAACGAGTGCTTACCCAGTGATGCGTGGCAGCGTGTCTGTGGAGAAGAGTGCGAGGGGCGGTTTGTCCCGCTCTATGAGCCACATGGTGTATTGCCCACTTTGCTCGGGGTGGAGGAACACGGCCATGTCCAGGCTGCAGGGACCCTGGCCCCCCCACAACCAGGGACTCAGCACCCAGGGGCCGCCAAAGGCTGAGCTGTTCACCCAGAGGAAGTGGCCTGTGGGCGAGAGGTAAAACAAAGAATGAGGAAGAGCAGGGGCACAAACAGGGTGGGCTAAACATCGAAGGACATTGCGGGGTTAGGGTCAAATCTTGCTAGTACTGTAGATCAGTAGAAGCGAGAAGTTATATTTCGTGAACATGATGTTCCGTTACAGTACGTACAGAATCTGAATGATGATCACGGGCTATGATTTCAAATAGTTTGGAGGCAAAGGCTGAGTGTAGTACTTGATGAGAATGCATGAAATAAAGCCGCTTTGAAAAAGAACAGTACATGACATCCCTAGCACCAAAGAAAAGAGAGACGGGTAGCGGGGGGAAAATCAAAGCATCGTTTTTGATCTGGCTTTGATATGAAGTCCCATTTCACTTTCAAACCTATTGCGCTCATTCATGCAGGAGGTTCATCAGAGGCTGAAAGTGGTGTGTGGGGGGGAACACAGAGAATCTCAACTTGAAAGGAGGAATATCCATTTTTAATATTCTCTCTTAAGAACAAGTGGTGTTGATGACGGGAAGCTAAGAAACGCAAAGCAAAAATCAAGCAAAATAATTGATTTTTAAAATAAAATCATTCTCCGTATCAAGGTGAGATTGCCCTGATGTCACTGTAAGGGTCGTGTGGAGCGTTAGCTGCTGCATTTGCAAGTAAGTACATATTGAAATATTTTGTTAGATATTTTTCAGTTTGTTTCCATTTCCAGGCTGCACTCTTGCCTTTTGAACAAAAGCAAAACTAGCTTCCCATGGGTCAGGCTGTAACTAGGCCATGCATGTTCATTACATCCATTACAAACCTGGGTTATATTGTATAGATCACATTGAAGCAATATGTTAACCCCCTGATAAAGTGTGTGTCATAGCATTTAATGCTCTATTTGGGCTACTTTTTGTTTGAAAACATATTATTACTTTTCCCAATAGCATCATCTGCTGCTTCACCCTCACACTTAGTTTATTTAGACCTTTGACACTTTGTATTGATGAGCTTGTCACAGATAACAAAATGTTATGCCAATCAATTCAATAACATGCCTTTGACAATATGTACTTTAAATCTACTTCTTATAATAACACAATTGTTCTGGTTGTGCACTGACGGGTCGGTTAGAGTTAAAAAATGTTTAAGTAAATCCAAGCTAAATATTATTTTGTAACCACTTAGGGTAATAAAATATTACATTACATGTTATCTATCGGATCCTTTTATCCAAAGCGACACTTCAATTTCAGATGAATTGTCTTGCCCACTGACACACAGGGGCCGTTTCTCAATCTCGAGGATACTGGCTTCCAAGCCAATATTTCAAGGATGCTACGTCATCGAGTGCCGCCGAAGGACTGTTCCAATCTCCAGCATACTTGTAATTCCACCGAGGCAGCATCCTTGGTTTGGGGGAAATTTCGAGGCTGCACATGGGTAGACTTTGGGTCCTTAAAATCCCCACAATGCTTTGCGCACGGACCAATTTCAAAAACCCTTGCGGAGAATTGCTGAACCGACGCAGCACACATTTAAATGTAAGTATAGTGGCGTAGAACATGTGTTGGTAAACATGTTACTTTGTTACATTTGTTTGTTATTACATTACATTGCATTTAGCTGACGCTTTTATCCAAAGCGACTTACAATAAGTGCGTTCGACCAACAAGATACAAACTTGAAGAAAACAGAGTCATATAAGTACATCAGGTTTCATAGAGCTAAAACATTTCAAGTGCTACTCAACTGGCTTTAGGTAAGCCAGTCCTTTATTAGTATATAAGTGCTTTGTTAGCAATTATTTGTTAGTAATTCTATCGATCAAAGTGGAGTCGAAAGAGATGAGTTATCACCAAAGATGTGTTCCGTGAAAGTAAAGCAAGTTCATAATTAGATAGACATCGTGAGGTATTTATTTTCGGTACAGTTTATGTTGAAACCATTAGAGAGAGTGGCACACTTGTTAGCCTGTTCCATTCTTCTTCGTTTTCCGAAGCCGTGGCTTGGAAGTATACTTGCTTCGTTTATGAAGGAAGTGACTTGGAAGTACGCGACTACCAAGCCAGCACCCTCGCGAATGAGAAACAGCCTGGGGGTGTTTCTCAATGTCGAGGAAGGCTGTTCCAGAGCCACTATTTCAAGCATACTACGTCATCGAGTCCTGCCGAAGGACTGTTCCAATGTCCAGCATACTTGGAATTCTACCGAGGCCGTCGTACTTCATAGCGGGACATTTCGAGGCTGCACATGTGTAGACTCTGCGGTCTTAAAATCCCCACAATGCTTTGCGCACGGACCAATTTCAAAATCTTTGGCGGAAATCGCGCTCCATTTAAGGCGGGGCCTCGCATATGACGCACACCTGCACACCTGTTAGCCTGTTCCACAATTATTCGTTTTCCGAGGCTAGGAAGGATTCTTGCCTCGCTTCTGAAGCAAGTGACTCGGAAGACATGTGCTAACAAGCAAGCGTCCTCGACATTGAGAAACACCCTGGGATTGAACCACTGATCCTCTGATTGGTAGACGCTGTTACGTGCCGTAGTGGGTGCTGGTGTGTGTGTGTGTATTTGTGTGTCTCTCTCTCCCCCTCTCACCCAGGGCCTCCATAAGGGAGCTGAGAAAGGCTGCAGTCGCTCTCTCCTTCTCCTCTGGCTGCATGTGTGCAGCATGGTGTCTCTGTCTCTGTGTGAGGCCTGTGTTTTTGTTAACTGTTAGGAGAAGTGCTCCAGTGTATCCTTGTGTATTGTTTTAAGTAAGTCACTTTCTTTAATGAGAAAGTTGTTCTGAGTTACCTTACTGTACGTTTGTTTTGCAAATTGGCTGGTGAGCCCTCTTTTCTTTTGATTATTAAACATCTCCTTGTGGCTTCAGCAATCAGTTTCCTCTCCTCTTTTCTCTCGCCCGGTTATTTTATATTTCTGCTACTTCCCTTTGTACCCCTAGTCCAGGAGGGAACGTAACAATGCCTATTAATATATCAATGTTACCCTGACTGTGTATATCTGACTATACATTGTATTAAACAAGATATGATGCATGATTGCAATTTTATAGTGAAATCTGATCTATTTATTTCCTACACTTATCAACAGTTTTGCAGTTTAAAATGTTTAAATAGCTGCAATAGTGAAAGATCATGACAACTGATTCAGGTATTCCATTTGAAACTTCATTTTAGGTGGGCAGGAGAAATGCTTACTCCCTCTTTTTATTCTCCCCCTATATCCAACACCTTTTTCCAAACTCAGGGAAGTTTGCTGAATAACTGGTGAATTCGCAGGCCTTTAAATTTGCTTTCCCTTCCACATTTGCATGCTCCTTACATAAAAGGTCCAGTCAATTTGGCAAGGACAGTCCAAGTGCCAAGACAATTCAGACAGCAGGCATTTACTACACACCCAGCAGCGATTCGATATAAAGGCTTTAAGGCTCAGCCGGGGAGAGCTTTGGGCCTGAAGGCAGAAACCTATTAAGTCTGTTTCCCAATCAAAATACCTGCATGTGAGCAATTATCGACAGAGTACAAATTATAACGGCAACTGCAAAGGAAATAATAGATTTCTGCCTCTGCTTCACCTACGAATACTCCCACCTAACAGAGCTTGGTGCCCTCATTTTCTGCATGACAAGGCCTGGTTCAACTGAATGTCTGTACCAATCAGGAAGGAGCAGCATGACAACATGATCGTTGGTCGGGGTTTAAGCGGTATAGATAAAGATGATTTCAAATCCAGCTTTGCATAAAACTAAAATCTCCGTAAGGTAACATGTACTAATCGGTATTTTTGCAATTAGGCAACACGCAGTAGGGCAATTTACTTTATCACCTCTTGCGTAAATATGGACCACTCTTGTCTTACATTTGAGAAAACAAAGAGGGAGTTTCTCTCCCACACATTCCTTTGTTTACTTCTGCACTTCTATTGGCTAGCGCTTCAACACATTGTATGTGATAGGCTTGGCGGGGTGGACCGACGCATCTCTAAGTGGTTGACACATCTGGGGCCTCATTTATAAAGCCTTGTGTAGGATTGCCGTGGGAAGGTTGCTTACATAGGACAAAGCAAATAAATACACACCAACACTTTCCGATTCATAAAAGACTGCGTACATAGCCTAACCTTCCTCAGGCAGTGTGTTTGTACCGGGGACAGGAGACCCCCCTTGATGAGAAACTGTAAGAAATGAACGGGGAATCCCTCCGGAGTGGAGTCATGACGACTGGATCTGAATTATTTTGTTGTATTTGGTGGTTTGTGTTCCAGCTTTCGATCAGCAACTATATATCCATAATCCACCAGTTAAAGGAAATACAACTAATGTGTTATATTAGCTGTACAATTGACCACATATGGTGTTCTTAGCTTCCATACCTCCTGTGTTTTACGAGCGACTTATCAAGTCTTGGCAAACGGCATAAAACACGATTAAACATGATAGTAGGCCAATATAAAACCATGCTCATATCTACAACCTATAGAAATGCAAAACGGCGTCAGTTTAGACGTAATTCTGTCCTCCTGCTTACCGCATCATTTATGAGAAAACATTTCATAACATTAACACAACATATTCCAGGTGGTTTTAAATAACATATCCGTATTTATTTATTTCTCCAAGTTATGTTTTAGTGTGCACTGAGGAGTCTCAAACAGGCGTTTGTTTAATCATCTTGAGATTGGCTTTAATCAATGTTTAAAAATGAATTCTTCATATAAGATAAATGAGAGGTAACATTTTATTTATGGTATTATTTCCACATATTTCTCTCCATTCTTCCTTCTGCCAACGGTGTCGCAGTTTCTCGTCTCTCCCGTTTTTGTGCTTAGTGCGCACGCATGGGTCAGAGTTTGCGTGGAGGACCGCACGTTTTCCCGGCAAGTTTGTTTTTTATAAATCACAAACAGTGCGTAGAAACTGGCGTACGCCATCTTTTGTGCGTCCGCACCGTTTATAAATGAGGCCCCAGAGCAGACTGGGCTCTGGTTTCAGACAGAGGGTGAAAAGAG